GTATGTATGTCCGCTTAAAAATATCCTTGGCGATGTGTGCTTTTGCCCACGTACGCATGCATGTATGTTTGTATGTATGTAACGTACGCATGTGCATGTGCATGTGTGTGTGTGTCTCTCTGTCCAGGGCAAGCGGCGCATGCGCGCCTCCGGTCGCCTGGCTGCCCGCGTGCTGGAGTTCGCGGGCAGCCTGGTGCGCCCCGGAGTGACTACGGATGAAATCGACAAGGCCGTACATGCCATGATCATTGAGAACGGGGCCTACCCCTCTCCGCTCAACTACGGTGGGAGGGACGGAGGGGGGAGAACAGCGGGAAGGATCGTCTCCTCCTTAACCCCACAACACAACACAACACAACGTATAGCCCGCAACACACATGAGACAAAACACACAAGACGCACATACCCTACATACCCATGGATAGCAGGAGTGGCGAAAGGGAGGGCCGGAGCCAGGGCCTCGGCGGCTGCAGGGGCCTTAGATCGCCTTGGGTTGCTGGGTTCGGTTAACGAAGGTCTGTGCCGCGTGAGTAACTTCACCCCCTTCACCCCCACGACCGCTGCCTGACTTAACTCCCCCATTTATCCGACGGCTCACGGGCCGCCTGCTGCCGTGTTTTTTATATTTTCGTACAGGGTGATGTTCTGCGTCCCTTTCCCCCACGCAACCCCCGGCCCAATCCTCTTCCCGCCTTCTCCCCCCACTGCCACATACACACACACCGCTGCAGGCAAGTTCCCCAAGTCTGTATGTACGTCAGTCAACGAATGCGTGTGCCACGGTATCCCCGACGACCGGCCCCTGGAGGCGGGGGACATCGTCAACATCGACGTCACCGTGTTTCTAGATGGCTACCACGGAGATACGAGCAGGATGTTCTTTGTGGGTAGGTGGGGGGGGGGATGGGGGGGAAAGCGGGTTGTTGGGGGGGGGGGAGGAGTTGGTGTGTGGGATAGTGGGGCCGGTTGCAGGGATGCACGGATTTCTTCTTGAGGCGCGGAGTCGTTAAGGGGATGGGGTATGTATGTATGTATGTATGTATGTATGTATGTATGTGTGGGATCCTC